TAGACACGTTGCGAACTTATAATTGCATTTCTATAGACAACTTCGAAATCGTATTTATAACAGAAAAATCGTACTGTCGTAACAGTTTAAGCTTAACTCTTTTAAACGTCCAGAAAAACGATATTAAAATAAATAACTTTTATTTGGAACTTGACAAAATCAAATAATTGTATTTAAGAATTTTCGAAACAATTGAAGTTTGAAAAGATTGAAGATGTAAAGAATAATAATCATACACTTAACAATTACATTTTAATTCTCAATTAAGAGATATTCAGTTATTGATTGTATTTAATTATTTAACTAATAATGGGATAATTAAAAGAGATCATAATTCTGATATAACATAATAAAAAAAATTACATTTTCTAAATATAACAGTTTCATAGCAAAAGTGCTCTATGGAAATGCTGATCAAGTACTCATTACTGAATGTTAGATATAACTAGCGACATAATCGTATCACGAGTTATCCTTATTAAACATAACCGCAATTAAACTGTATTCATCATAATTAAGGTTAAATTATCTATTATACAGTTAGAAAGTAGAAGTTTATTACAGTTAACTAACTATCTCTACACGTTCTCCCGGTACGAAATTCGTTACCATTTCATAGAATATTAATTCATTGAACCTTATATAGTCTGAAAATAATCAATGTAATTACAGCACGATGCTATATTTAGACGAATAATAGCTGCCATAGAAATACGCTTGATATTTCAAGAACATCGAACGTAAAGACACGTTTGAGAACACATCGTTTCACTAGTTAACTTTTTTTTATAACTCCTTGTAGATCTATTATTTATTGTACTGTGATTTCTCAAAAACTAGAACTAGTATTTTGTTTATTTTAGTGTGACAATTATATACTTACAATTTTAATCTGGAAACTGGTGATTCTAAAAATTAAAAATTTGTTTAAAGAAAACTTTTTATTTCTTCATTTATGATATCGAAAGAGGCTTTATTTTTGGATTAGGTGGGTTGATATGATAATATTTTGGAAATATAAAATTTGCAATTCAATTATTTGTACCGTAAAGTTTGTATATATGTATAATCTTTTTTAAATTGATGAACTGAATTCATGGCATATTAGATAAATAAATGAAATTATGTATTTGTAATAATAATTTCTATATATGAAGAAGCAATGCACGTCCTCGTTAATATTTCTTCAATTCTATTAGGTATAATTTAAATTAAAAAATAGGGAAATGTAAACTGTAACCTAAAAATCTGTAAGCTAACTGTAAAGTGAAACTTAACTATTTCAAATAAAAGGGACTGTTATTATAAAAATGATTAAAATATTTAAATTGTAATTAATTATAAAAATCATTCAAATAGAATTATGTATGGAGAACAGTTGTGACATTTATTTAAAATTTATTACTTGTTTATAGAAAGGATTGCATTTATGTAGAAAACAAGGCCAGAAAATATAAATTGGAGTGTCATTGCAGTTATTAATCATTTTTATACAAAGCGATAAGTATTTGTGTATACAAATTTTTATGGATAAATAATATTTTGATAACTTGAGAAAATGGGAAAATTTTAAATGGGAAACTTGAAAATTTTAGGATTTGAAAGTTTAGATGATTGAAAATTGGAATTAATTGAATAGGGATTTAAGAAATTGAAAATTAAAGAATTCGAAAGTACATATTTTGGAAATTTGCAAATTTGGGAATTAGGATATTTGGTAATTTATGAAGTGAAATATTTGGATATGTGGAAAATTTTAAACTGAGGAATTCATAATTCCAAAATTAGAGAATTGGGAAGTTTGATAATTTTAAAAAAATCTGGGAATTCGGGGATTTGGGGACTTGCGAATCTGGGAATTGAAAAATGTTTAAATTGGGAGATCTGGAAATTAAAAAATTGTACAATTGGAAATATAACAATTTTGGAACTTAAAAAATCTGAATTTTGGGAAATTGATAATTACAAAATTTGGAGAATGAAAATTTAAAAAATTAACAATTTAACAATTTTTGAAATTGGAGATTTAAAATTTAAAACTTTAACTTCTCAAAACCCGAAATTCACAAATTTTTGAGTTTTAGAATTTAGAAATTTCGAAATTTATAAATCTAGAAATCTCGAATTTTAGGATATTAATTCGATAGCTTAGAAATTTGAAAAAGAATAATTCGGAAATTCAGAAATTCAGAAATTCAGAAATTCAGAAATTCAGAAATTGAGTAATTCAGCAGCTCACTAATTCAGTAATTCAGTAATTCAATATCCCAGTAATTTAAATATTCTTGAATGTACACAATCAGGAATTTGAAAATTGTTATACTTGAAACCAATTTAAAATTTCTATCACATACGTACATACGTACATAAAGATACGACAAAGTTCTACTACCTATGCATCTCGCTATGCACTCCTCAATACGAATCATCCGACATACAGACGTTCAATTTCAAAATTACAAATGACCAACAGTATTAAAAATTCTACTTTCCCAGCTACTTCCGTCTTCAGTGAGAATAAAAATTATTCAATCCGCAAATAATCCGCTAGCAATTTGGACCACGTGAAAATGTTCTCTTTATTATTACGATACGTTCCGTGTATTATCACGTACGTTCGCGTTATCGCGTAGCGGCGGTATCACGCGAGCATCGCGAGTCTTTTATGCACGGCATCGTATCCGCGGACGTGTCACGCGAACACGCGTCCCAGCCGCTTCTCGTACGTGGCGCAGATAATTATACTTACGTGTACGCGCGTGTGTAATTGTGCGCACATGGCCATGACACGTGCGTGCGAGAACACGCTCTCACAGACGCGGCAATAAATACGGTACCGAGCCGGACAAGCATAATGAATGATAAGAAGGGACGTGGCGTTATCGTCAGCTGATATCGGTCGGGCATCTTCGCTACCACGTGGTCCGTGGCCGGAATCGAACGATGCCCGCGGTAAGAAATACGCGCCGTAAATAAATCGCGCCGGAACTGCGCGCGCTTTCGCAGACACTGATTCGCGGCGCAGGAAGTTGCGTCGGTGCTCGAGTCTTGCTGCGTGAATCGGAGATCATTATCTGTTATCTTACAAATGTACGATGTTATTGTGTAGGAGTTATTACTATTGTTTAAGGGACTTTTAGAATGATAAGTAGGGAATTACTTATGAGTCGATATGTATCTAGATACTTAAATATTGAGATTCTGTATCAGTAAATAATTATGTACTTACATCCCAAAATTTATTATTTTCAAATTAGTATTATATTTTCACAGATCTTTGTATTTTATATTCTCAAACCCATAAACCCCCATATCTCTGTATTTCCAAGATCACATATTTTCAGATTTTTATATTCTCAAAATTTTCAGTCAGAAATTTCTGTATTTCTGAATCCTTACATTAACAAACTACTATACTTCCTGATTGCTCTATTCTCAAATTTCTACATATCCAAACCCTTGTAAACCCTTGTAAATTTTTATATTTCAATATCCCTTTTCATCCAAATCTATATTTTCAAACCTCGAATTTCAAATGTCCAATTTCCTATATCCTCAAATCCCTAACATTCTTATATCCACAGATTGTTAATATTAATAGATTTTCAAATCTCTTTATATATTCCTACACCTCCAAATTCCCAAACCCTGGTACTTGCTCTATATCCCTAGATTTTTAAATCCCTGGATTCTTAACTTTCTGAATCCATATATTCAAAAATATGCAATTAGTACACAACTTTGCGATATATCATCAAGGCAGTTTTTTATTTATTCTCCCATCCCTCATTTCCTGTTTCTTCTTATTCGATTAAATTAAATTTAAAATGTCGTAAATGATTAAAAACTGATTTAATTAGTTTTGATGCTAATTAACGACTCTGACTTGCTTACAACATGTACGTACTAATTTGCTTTTTGAAATCTTTGCTTTTTGAATAATTACTTACATTTATAGTGGAGTGTTGAAACAAATATTCAATTGTATTCTTTCATTTTTTTTAAGATGTAATATTAAATGTTGTTATTAATTTCCATGAAATGTTCTCTATATATTTGTTTCATATCTTGTATATAATCTTACAATTAGTTTAACAATCTTGAAAAAGATCATACATAAAATTATCAGCATGTAATTATCATAAAATTAACATATAATTGCAGTAGAAGAATTACATACAGGTGGACGAACTAAAAGCGATTCAAAATTTCATAATAATATTCTAAGCTTGAGGATATCTGAAATTTGCATGTTTAAAAATAATTTTCAAAGTGAATTCGTATTCAGTAAATCATTCAAATACAAGGTACATATTTATTGTATTTAGAGATTTACAAGCTTAAATCATCTAAAATATAACATACGTCTGTTAAGTTCGAGGATATTTAAAACTCTCTTCGACACAACAAATTTGTCTTTTACTACCTTAATTTTTTTAAGAAATCATGAAACTATCTATCACACGGTTATAGCGTAAAAATCACGCGACACAAGTTTACAAACTACGATTGATTCAAAACCCAGTGTCAGTCAAACTCGACAAACGCATGACACGAGTTTACGAATAAACTTGTATCACAATATCTGAGGTTCCCACTAACTACCATTTTGAACCAGCAGATGTCAATCTAGAATACGGATGTTGATCGCAAACAAAAGCCGCCCAAAAAATAGTGTCGTTCCTCGTCGATCGCCCAATCCGTGTTTCCTCCTTGTTCTCCAATAATCATATCTCTCTCAGACGAGTACGCAGTTTCTGCCAACAGTCTGAAATTAAAAAATGTACGCGGGTGTGTCGCGTAAGCAAGTAACCCCGGGAACTTCGAGGGCGAAGCAGCGAGCAGCCGTGACAATAAACACGCCAGTGACGTGTAAAAATAAAAAAAAAATGAAAAAAAAAGCGAAAGAAAATGAAAGCAGAAGAGAGAAACACGTTCGAAATGAACAAACGGAGGGAGAAGGGTTAGTGCAGGGGCCGATACAAATGTTTCTTCTGCAGCAGGGTTGCGGGGTGCAGTTCAGACATGGGAAGTGAGCATTACTGCCTGAGGTGGAACAATCATCAGAGCAACTTGCTGGGTGTGTTCAGTCAATTGCTGGAGTCGGAGTCGCTGGTGGACGTGACACTGGCGTGCACGGAGGGACCTTCGATACGTGCCCACAAGGTAGTCCTCTCCGCGTGTTCCAGCTACTTCCAGGCCCTGTTCCTCGACCACCCGAACCGCCACCCCATAGTCATCCTAAAGGACGTACGTTTCGCCGAGCTACGTACCCTCGTCGACTTCATGTACAAAGGCGAAGTAAACGTCGAGTACTGCCAGCTATCGGCCCTCCTCAAGACAGCGGAGAGCCTGAAGGTGAAGGGTCTAGCGGATATGACAAACATCAACGCGGCGGTAGCGTCGAGAGACGACCAACAACAACAGCACCAACAACAACAACAGCAGCAGCAGCAACAGCAACAGCAACAGCAGCAACAGCAACAACAACAACAACAACAGCAACACACGAGCACATCCGAGGGTATACAGCGCGAGACGTCGCGAGAACATCATCGGGAACGCGAAAGTATAAAGGAATCGAGCAATAAAGAAAGAGACAGGGAAGGAAACACGTCCGGTGGCACGGGGGTGCCATCAGCTGGGGTCAAAGAATGCGAACAAAGCCAACAAAACGTTACCCAACCACCCACCAGCGAGTCCACCGAGGCGGTAGACATGACGGACTGTCCACCATCGCCTACAGGACCCGGTAGCCCTTGTCCAGGACCTTTAGCCCTTGATCGACCTAGGAGGGACTCCGAAGATGTCGCCAGTCTAGAAGAAACGAGGGGTACCCTTAGTCCGATCTCGGTGCACAGTGGACCCTCGGATATGAGTCTGAGTAATAATACTGGTGGCACCACTGGCGTACTTCCGTTGAATCTACCACAGAGCCGACTTCCGTCCCCGCACAGTACAGAACCTCTCGCGGGCCCGTCGGGGTTACCTCCGGTTCAGCAAGTTCCACTTGTGAGTACTACCTTTATTTTTTATTATTAACAACGTATTATCGTTTCGAATAGTCAAAGGTCGGTCTTTTTTTCTATCGAAATGACCGGAAAATTATGTCGGTTTTATTAGTAGATGACATACATGTGTGTTAACGTGTCCGTGTAACATATTTATTCGATTTATACATATGTTAACATGTACATTCATGTAACACTTACTCAATTCATGTGTTTCTTCAACAAATGTACACTTGGCCTTGATTTTTACAATATTTTATTCGAAAAAGGATATTGCATCAAGTTTAATGGAATTTTTTATATGTTATAAATGATTGGAATGTTGAAAGATAGGAATGTTGTTTAAATTAATTCAAAAATTAATTTTTGATACTAAACGATTCAGAAGTTAAACAATTAAGAATCAGAGAAATTTATAACAGTCGAAAATTTGCAAGTTTGAAAATTTAGAAACCTACTTAAATTTTGATATTTTAAATGCCTGAAAACATAGAAATTCGAAAACACAGAAAAGCGGGAGGAGCCTCTTCCCCTACACTCGTCCTTACGCAAAGAATTCATTTGCCTCTAAGTACATTCACTTCAACTTACATAGTTTTCGAGTTACGTCAACTATAGCCAATCGGAACATAAACACGTAACACATTAACAATTTAACATAATCACTTTAGATAGTTCCGTATATTACCGACATAAAGCAAGAAACATATTTTGTAAATTTTTTGTTTACGCCTGATATGACTCATCCATTCAACCAAACGTGTCGTTTACCATCGATTATTCAAGCTAATTGTATTTATCGAACCTTAACGCTAATAATTTCACAACTAGCGTCCCGGTCCCGTTCAATCCAATTATTGCTTTGACGTGAATCCGATGTTCGTTTGCAGTCGTTAAAAAAAGAGATAGACTGGGAAAGATCGACCGAGGAGCGAAGCTCGAGCAGCGAAATATCCAAGGACTACAGACTCCCACCAGAACCGGTGAGTTTTGCTCTTTTTCTCCGCTATATATTCCAATTTATTGACTACTTTTTATTCTCGTACTTTCTCTTTACTCTGCATTTGTATATCGATTACGGTTGTCGTCGTTGTACGCGTTGCTCGTCCGCGATCGCGTGCCACACAAGATGGTGTCCGCCGCGAATGGCGGATGAGCTGACGCGAATCTTGCAAACAAAACTAAACAAACGCCTGCAATTTTCTCTTACATTTCAATGCATATATATACATACAATCGTGCAAGATTACGACGAATCGTTGGTACGCGCTGCTCGTTGTGAACGATCGTTAAAACAGCGTTTCGTAAGATCGTTGTCCGAAACGACGAAGGAACATCAACAACACGATCCATTTTATCTATCTATCTATTTATATATATATACATATATATCTATCTATTTGCTTGCCTATCTATCCTAAAGTCGATAGATAGACAGGCATACAATATATTATATTTCGAGTTCACTTTGCATGTGGGTCTATTTGCATGCGTGCCCAAAGTGCTTTGCTGTTTGCTGCTCTCCCTGCTAATTTTGAAAGTGATCGTGTCATTAACAGTCGTCCTGGCAATCCAGAGAACAGTGTGATCGGAGGTTCGATGACAGAGATGGGAGTTTCTTATTGAATCGATTATTCGAGAATTATTTTCATTCGTAAACGATTCGTTGGGCGACCGTCCGGTGGTCCTTTCGAGATTCGTTACCGTTTCTGTTTTTGCACAAAACCACGCGGTATATAGGCAATCGAAAGAATAAAAAAACGAGGCTCGTCCAAGAGACAAGCGCAAACGAACCTAGCAGCTTGCCGATCGTTTTATTAGCTTCAAGCGCCCCGTAAAAAAAGATCTTCGTCGAGACGCGCTGCGCAGAAGGAGATCAATCAAGTGCATGCCGTCTACTTTGACGAACGTATTATCTTCTTTTTCCAAACTAATTCACTTTTCCGTGCATACTTTTAATCCTTTGTTCCATTCCTGATTTTACGCGAGACTATCCAGAATTTATCCATCCACGTTCCTCTCGCTGTGTCTTCGTGTGTCTATCTGTCTATCAGCTCCCTCGTGCGCTGTTTTTCGTCGATTTTTTCTTCATCTCCTACGTCCCTGTCCTGGACAAATAGGAAATGTGATTCCTTCAGCTGTGTTCCTTACGTTTCGTTCATGATTTGGTGATGTACATAAGAAGCAACGTATTTTATTGATACATTGAGAAATGGAAATTTTTATGTGTGTTTTGTAACCCGTTTAGCTTTTATTACAAGTGAAATTTTTGATAGTTTTTTTTATTTAAGTGAGATAGAGGATATTAACGTTTTTGATTCAAAGTTAGTGAAATACTCGTAGGTGAAATTATCAGAATTCAAATAAAATTCTTGTTATATGGAACAGTTATTATCTCTGCATAAAACACAGATACTAATTATAAATATACACAAATAAGCAGTATCTGTAACAAATACATATTTTTTATGGTTCTTAATTCAGATAATTTAATAATCAATGTCCTTTGATGTCTTCTATTGAAAGTAAATTAAAAAATTATATCAAGAATTTTTCACTTTTAATAAAATGAAGAACTATAAAATGCACACAACATTGTTCATTTTTCAATATAACAATAAAAAATAATCGTTTGAGTAAATAATTTAACACTTTGAACCCGGAAAATTTATGCGGTAATGTTTTAACGCCGGTGTTTAACTTTCGATTTTTTTCGGTAGAAATAAAGAAATAATTTAATAACAATATTAATATAATCTAACAGAATACTAAGTCGTGTGGTATGAAAGGATGGACTTTTTAAAACAGAAGGAGAATTATAAAATAGTTTTATAGACTTAAACAAATTTTAGTCGTCATACATCTGATTATATGGCCTCTTGTTAGTGCAGTTTTGATAAAAGTATTCTTCGATTTTAAAACAAACGAAATTTACAAAAATCTCTATTTACATTTTAAAATATATTAAAAAATGCTCCCACATTCTGAAATGTATTATAAAAAACAAAGGAAACTGTGAAACAACTGATAATCTGTCAACTACATTATTGCTCAAATCAATAAGTTTTATAAGTTCACCTGAATTATACGCGATCTCACTGTGTAAAAGAAAATATTTACGTAAGAGAATGCGAGCCCTTTGGAATTTTCATTTTCCCTTGAAGAATTCGACGTTTCCTGTTACACAATCTCATAATATTAAAATGTCAACAAGCAAAGCGTGTAGTGTTCAAAGTGTTAAACGATTTACTTTTCTAAAAAATGAAAAAAAGAATTTTTCTCTGAGGTGAAGAAAGTATTATTCTCTGCTCATATGACAACATACATGACAATTTCTAATTGTTTACACTCACAATACATGCTAATATAGGCGTGAGCCTTGTTATAGCAAAGCAAGTTAACCCTTTGGGGATCCATATACTGATAAACCCATAAATCGAAGAAAACCATTACAGATATTTTTCATATTAGTGAAGATAAAAATTGAGAGTATGGGTATAATTTACAGTGTACGCCTTGAATTACGTAACCATTGCAGTAGAGCCTGGGCTCCATCGTGACCTAAATCGAAATGTGTTAAATACCATTTCTACTGAATTTACATGTACAAATTTTTAAAGGAAACGATAGATTTCAAAAATTGTGAAAAATTTTAAAATCTAAATTTAAATTTCCTATCCTTTATTAATGGAGGGTTAATTATCAAAACCACTGTCCGCAAAGGGTCAAAATTTCGAATACTCATATAAACACTTAACGTCGGAAGTTCTCTTCAAACCCACGAATTTCAATCTTCTACTTTGACCCAATTATATCCTGGGTTCAAAGCAAATTAGAACTAAACTCGATAATGCTCGTGACAATCTTTCGAATTTTCACCCCTGATCCTAATCGAAAGATCGACAAAAAATCGGCGCGCGATTTCCTGTTCCTCCTATCCTGCCAGCCTGTCTTGCTAGCTCACTGTCAAGAAGTTGACCTTCGTTTTTGGCCATGGTTGTTTTTTACTACATTTTTATATATATATATATGTATATAAATACATAAAGGAAATATATATATGTATATACATATATATATATACACATATATATATTGTTACATACATGTACTGATATTATACGCAATTCTCGTTTTACGTGCATATATATATATACATATATATATACATATATATATACATATATATATCGTTATACATATATACAAATTATATTGACATTCATTATTACCATTTGTTACTTACTTTGTAATATTTGTATTTCGATTTGTCGTTTTTTGGTTGAGTGCAATGCCTTTTGCTACGGCGAACAATTTTGCGCCGCCGGCGATCTCGGCCGCCGTTTTATCACGAATGTTATTATAAATCAATGAAAAAAAATTTGAAAAAAAAAAGAAACAAACGAACATAAAGTGAAAAGGGAGGAGGGACGAGGGGCGGGTGGGTCGTCGTCGTTGTTGTTCTTGAGCGAGGCTGTGGGGATTTTGCCGTGGGCCCGGTACCTACGTGTGTCACTTGTTAATCCCAGACCGACACATATAACACACGTCCGTATATAGACACGTATAATGATCCAAAGTTGATACGTGTTTATATATTGACGCGTTCTTATACGCTGTTACACACACAATCAGACAGTTCCTTGTCATACATGTAAAGATACCTGGGGGTGCGCGTCGTGCCAAACAAAAATGAGCGTCAACTTCTTGTGCTACTGTCTTACATGCCGTCGAGAGGAATCATTTTCTCGTCAGGCTAGGGACCTCTTTTTCCACCGAGCGAGAACAGCTGATGATACAGCGGAGGAAAGATACGAAACGAAATAAAGAGAGCCTCGTACACTTCCGGTCATGCCAAAACGTGCTTCTTTACGAGTAGCGGTCTCGAGATGACGAGCCTTGCCTGTTCTTTCTTTCTTTATTTTACCTTTTTTTTCTTAATTATTATTTTCGCCTACGGTCTAGTGGCGGGAGAGAGAGAGAGAGAGAGAGAGAGAGGGAGAGAGAAAGAGAGAGAGAGAGAGATACCGAGTAGTCGAGAGATATGTGAGGCAACGGAAGAAAAGAGAGTGCAGAAAAGACAAGAAAAAAAGAGACATCTTTCGAAATGAGCAGCGCGAAACGGGCGTCGATCGAAGCTCGCTGCGACCCGGCTCGTACATACAATCCATGTATACATATATACAGTCCCCACGTGTATCTGTGTACGTTGTGAGTCGAGTAGCGTCGAAACGAGCGATTTGTCACGTCGGAGGTGTAACATCCACGTCACATTCACAGGAGACACGAAAGAGAAAGAGAGATGGTATCTCTTTTCCGCTTGAAACGATCACTTCAAAGTAAAAAAAAAAGAGAAAGAAAAGAATGAAACAATAGATAAATAGATAGATAGATAGATAGATAGTAACCTAGATAGATGACACGAGAAATGGAGAGAGAAAGGGGGAGAGAAAGATGGAATGAGTGCGAGAGAGAGAAAGAGAGAGAGAGAGATCCATAGTAGCGCTACTGTTGGGGGTGTAAGGACGAGCTAAAGAGGAAGACAAGAAGTTGATGTTCTTGTTTGTTTGGTTGCAGGAGTTGATGGGTGTGGATGAGCGGGTGTTTGCGTGCATGTACTGCGGTGCCTCGTTCCTCCACCAGAGCAAGCTGGCGCGGCACATCCTCTCGCACAGCCTCGAGTCGCTCAAGTACCGTGAGCAGGCGGCCCACCTGCAGGTGCAGGCTCAGCTGGGCCTCGAACCCGGTATGCACCTGCCGCCCGAGGCCCACTACCCCACCGCAGGTACGATCGAGCCGATGGACCTCGAGCTCGCGGCCCACTCGGACCCAACCTCCGGCGTCGTCCTCTGCAAGTTCTGCGGCAAGTCGTTCCCGGACGTTGGCTTCCTGATAGCCCATCTACCTGCCCATACAGGCGACAGGCCGTTCAAGTGCGAGTTCTGTGGCAAGGCGTTTAAGTTACGCCATCACATGAAGGATC